TCCACGAAAAGCTTATGTCTAATAAAATTTGTTAAGTCTCTAAGGTGCCACAAGTACTCCTGTTCTTCTTTTTGCGGATACAGACTAACACGGCTGCTACTAAGTAAGTAAGGGAGGGCACGGCTACACTAGAGTTTACAGTAGCACAGCTGTGCTGCTGTAAGCTCTCCAGTGTTGCCACTCTAAGCCAAGGGGAGAGAGGTCTGCCATCGGTTTAACTAGTCCAGCCCCCGTGAGCAACAGAAGCTATGTTGGAAGGTCCATACTGGCACTTAGGTCGGCATAACTATGTCGCTCAGGGAGGTGGTTTATTCACACCCCAGAGTGACATAAACTATGTCTACATTACAGCTTATATCCGCATAACTTAAGTATATTGCCTACTTTGGGTCCGAGCCAATGCCCATTGAATTCAGTGGAAAGACATTCACTGACTTTGATGGCCATTGGATTGAGCCCTTAATTCTTCATGAAAATCCTCTGTCTGTGTGTGTCTCCCTCTCTGTGAATTTAATTTATTTATTTTAAGGACAAAGTTTTCAATCCTGAAGATACTAAATCCCCTGAGTAACCACTTTAACAACTTAATTTGCCAGCTCTTTGCAAATGGGCTGTGTGACAAAACAAAGACTTAAGATGAAAATGTCACTTTCAAACATTTTTAGTAATTTATTTGTCAGCTTATGACTCATGTGAAGTGATCACGTGGGTTCAGTGTAGAGCAAGCAATTAGCCAAGGCCTTAGCTTTGCTGCTAAGTCATTTTCAGAAACAAATATCACGATTTCTCACTTAGATTTAATTATGTAAATGTCTTGGTTTGCCTTTATGAAAGCTCAGCACGCTTGCAAGGCAATTTAAATTTGACCTTTCTTGCAGTTGATCTTACGACAACTTTACCATTCTTGGTGTAGAATTTGCTTGTTATTGAGTTAAAATGCATTATAAATAAATAATTCGTCTAGAGTCAGCACTGTCCAATAATGGCCTCATCCGTCATTTCTTCGATCTAGCTCTGCAGCCCCTTTACATTCTCTCCATGGCATAAAAGAGCCATAACGTGGATAAAAACAGCCCCTGGACAATATCCTTTGTTTAAAGGGGTTTCTCAGGCCTTGTCTAAACTGGTAAGGTTTTGTTGCTATAGCTATACTGGTACGGTTAAACTGACAACACTCTCTAGTGTGGATACAGTCTTCTTTTGTATGGCTTGGGTAGGTAGCAACGACTACAAATTTATATCTAGATTTGATAGTCAGCACATTGCCACAGCCATGAGTTGGTGAATGTCCTTCAGGCCCCTGGTGAAAGAACGAAGATATGTTGTGCTCCATCGTTTGAGTCTGGTGACCACAGTCGCATACAGGCGTTTGCCTCATTTTCCTTATAAAGAGGGTTTATCCACATCTCCCATGAGATGTCCTGATGTGATTCAGTCTGCACCAGGCTTTGTGACATTTATCAAAACCTGGTGGTTCCTTGGCAGGGTCAATGACGAGCTGTTTGTTTTGAGTAATAAAAAAGTTCCATGTGGTTCTCCATTGCGCCTCAGCATTGAAGTTGGGTGTAAGGGTCTTGATGTGGTTCCATAGAAGGTTGCGGGATTTTGATCTTGTCTTTGGTAGGTTCTGCAGGTCATTGTGCAGTGGGAGTGTTTGCGTTGACATGGGTAAGAAAGCAAGATGCTCTAATCTGTGGAGGCTGGATTTGTGATAGGTCTGGGAGCCAGTCAACTGGAGTCGATTTGAGCATCCCCGACATTATGTGCATAGCATTATTAAGTTGAGTGTCAAGGAGTTTAGTGTGACTGCTGTGAGACCACACTGGTGCACAATATTGAGCTGCAGAATATACCAAGGCAATTGTTGCGGGTGTTCTTGAGGTTTTGTTGAAAGATCAAACTCCAGTCCAGTATAACGCCAAGATACTTTGGGTTAGCCTCATGGCTGATGCTCTCACCACAGAACTGCATATCAGGTTTGGTATTAGCCATTTTATTGTTAGAATGGAAAGTGGTTACCATGGTTTTTTTCAGGTTAGGCCTAAGTTTCCGGCATTGGAAATAATCAGCAATTGTGTTAAGATCTCGGGTTAGGGTGCAGCTGATGGTATGAAGGCTGATATGTTGAATAGCTAGGGCAGTGTCATCTGCATACATGAATTTCTTTGACTCTGTCACTGGTATATCCATGGTGTATAGATTAAAAAGTACCAGGGCCAGGATGGAGCCCTGAGGGCTGCCTGAATTAAGAATTCTTGGTCTACTGATCTGGTCATTAAGGTGCACCTTAAAGTAGCGATCCCTGGTCATTGCTGTCAAGAGGCGGATCGTTCGCTGGCAGTGAATGACGCGGGAGATCTTGAGGAGGAGGCCCTGTCTTCAGATGGCGTAATATGCTGAGCACAGATCAACAAGGGCGATCCCTGTCTTCAACTTACGTTGGAATCCTGCCTCAATGTGGCCGGTAAGTGAAGCTACTTGGTCACAGCAGTTCCTCTTCGAGCAAAATCCTGCCTGCTCCGCTGGGAGGATGTCTTTGATAGTATCGGACAGACACGGAGCAATGCCCGTTCTATGAGCTTGCTGGTGGTTGAGAGGAGAGAGATGGGGTAGTAAGTGACTGCACCCACTGGAGATTTCCCAGGCTTCAGTAGGGCAACCTTCACATGGTGCTTCTGTTAAGTGTTGGTGTTTTTGTACTCTGTGCTTTATGCAAATTCACTAACATACCAGTGTCATCAGTTGGCCACTGGATGTCATATTACCAACCTCCCAGTGAAAGTAGCAACGTGTGCCACACAGGGGTATCAGTACAAAGTGGTCATGCCAGTGTAGGTTGTGCTGGTCTATGTTAGTAAAAAGATCATACCCCTGACAGACATAGCTATGGTAATCAGAATTTTTAAGTGTAGTTCAGACCTCAGCCAGTGTTGAGCAGCGAGAACAGTTTTATGGCAACCTGTGTCACAGTCCCTGGCATAGGAGATGTAACTCTGCACTCTGGCTATTCTCAGCAGATTGTAAATGGAAACATGAGTATAAGGCCATGTTTATACTAGGGGCTTGTCTACACTACAAATCCTTTGCAGGCATAGCTATACCAGCGTAGCTATGCTGGCAGAGCCCCCTACTGGAGATGCAGCATAAGCTGACAGGAGTAGTAGTATACCAATATTCCTAGCTATTTTGATGAGGAGTGGGAAAAAATCTCACCCCTATGCTGGCAAAACCCCTGGTGTGACACAATTATGCCAAAAGAAGAGTTCTTCTGCTGGTATAGCTAAACCACCTCTCTATTACCTCTGCTGTCAAGCAATCTTCTGTCAGCATAGTTGAGTGTACACTAGGGTTTTGCTGGCATAGCTGTGTTGGTTAGGGGTGCGATTTTTTTTCACATGTAGCTATGCTGGAAAAAACTTTGTAGTGTAGACTAAGGCTAGGAGTGTTTTGCTGGTATACAAATACCAGTATTCTATACTGGCACAGTGCTCCTAGTGTGGACGCAGCTATACCGGCAAAGTTGTGCTTTTGCTGGTTTAGCTTATGTTACTCCAGCCAAGCAAAACATAAAATACCCATAAAAGTGCAGTTTTGCTGGTATAAAAGCTATGATAATCAGGGATCACACCTCTTCACATGCCTGACTGGCTGTGCTGGATAAAGTCTGTAGTGTAGACATGCCCTAAGTTAGAGCAGCCTTGTGACTCCTCTAACTTATGCCTGGGGCCTAGTCAGCCCCCAACTGCCCCAAGAATATGAGGAACACAAAGATGGCTTGAAGCCATCAAAGCTTCCCAGGGCCAAGTGCAGGAATGGAGCACTGAGCATTGGGGCCCTTTGGGCATTCCCACTGAGATGGCAATTTTTAGTATGC